ATGGTACTACTTCAAAGTGCAATGGAACATTACATAAATATTTAACATCTTCTTCTTACCCAACAGATAAAACACATCTCCTCTACTCCATTCAATGATTCTGTTTTCATTGAACTTCCTGAAGAGATATCGCAGTATATTGAATCCAAATTCACAGATATTAGTATGACACAAGTAAGTTCTCTTGCTGCTTTTCATCTTTTTCGGAGCAACAACAAACTGACTTTCTCATTTTTTAAAGTTTGTTTAACAAGACGTACTCTCTCATTTCAACAGGACAAGATAATTCTTCAAATACAAGCTCAGAAATTCTACACGAATATCATTCGGAACTCAGCACCTACTCTAAAGACCTATGTAGATGACATGCATACTTCATTGCTCAAGACGTCGACATATTCCAGCAGCCCAAACCTGCAATTTAAATCATCAGTTTCGGATAACACATTCAAAGTTCCTAGGACTAAACAATTGTTGGCTATAGAATCACCTCCAAACTTCCCAAATACTAACTGTCCCAACAATCGTTGATGAAGATAAACAAGTCAACATCAATGAAATTCTTCAGCAATTGGTCAATATTTCACTCAATCTCTGAACATAACCAGCTCTAATTTCTCTCTATCTTTTAATGGTAATCTACCATCTTTCGAAGAGCTTGCTTGTCCGGAATTATTTGTGAAGACATCAAGTCAAAAAACAACACCTCCCACTGATGTTTCAGAAATGTTGCATCGTAAGTTTTTCTTTCATAGCTCTTCTAAGCATGTTTTTTCTCTGTACCCAAATAGAACATGAATTAAGTAATGACAATTTTTTTCTACAGGATTCTTGTCTGAATCAAAACACCCAAAACAAAGAGTAGAAGAAACAAAATTTTGCTTTCCACTGTTCAGATTCTTATTACCAGGAGAGCATTTGGAAGGTCATTTCTCTTACAAACTTCATTTTATCCAAAGTAATTTTTTCAGACATGTAGATGAACTGAGTTGTTAAGATTTCTTATTCTTAATGTTCTTTTAACTTTTTTTGTTCAACTAGATTTCATTGATGCTGAACTGGATAAAGACTTGTTGCCTGATGAAAATGTAGTTGCATCTCAGAGTACTCTCAACAATACAATGCATGCCAATTCAAATGGAGAGGCTGGTACAGTCACTCAATATCAAGACACAGATTCTCCTTCATTTGATGCAATTACCAATTCAATTGAGTTAGTTCACAATGTTCCATTTGCATCTCGTTCCTCTAGTCAGTTCACCCTCTCAGCAAATCAGTATAGCATGCATTGCAATAGTCATGCCAATCCCGATGTTCCTGGAACCGAGAGCCCAATAAGGATAATGGATTTCCTATCACCAAAACTCTTCCCAAACAATATTGCCACACCTATTGAAGATTCTTTGCTAGTTAAAGCACTCGAACAACATGAAGCACATTCCAGCAAGTTTTCAAAACCAGAAACTTCAACCTGGCAACAACGTGTGAACAATTCTTTCAAATCTGCGACACTAGTCATTCAAGAACCCAAAAATTCTGGGCAACAGGTCATCTTTTCAGATGGAATAGAGAATGATTTCTACCAAACATTGGTTGGACTACTTCCCAAATTAACTTTCAGGTATGTACAAAAAGCATATGAATTTTTATGTGATATGTTGTACATGATTCGAACATAAACAATTTTATATATGCTATCAATGCTTTTTTCTCATGTTTTTTTTCACTTTTCTTGATGATATTCTTCTGCCATCAATAGCCAAAGAATATTTGAGATCGAAGGAGTTTGGGTGGATCAGAAAACCATAACTCTATCATTCAAGCCTGGTGGTTGGATAAACCCTCGGGTTGTTGCCTGTTTTTCAAAACTAAAGAACAAAGACCAGCTGAACCGAGGAAGAAAAGGCCTCCTACCAAACAGTGAAATAGTGGAGCACATAGTTAACATTGACGACATGGTCAGCCTATTTTTTAAATTCTTTTCCTCTGTTTTCATTTTCACACCATTGACATTTCCTTTTCTTAACTATCAATAATTTTCTGGGAAACAAACTTGCAGGAGAAGCTAATGAACCCAATGCTAAATCATTCAGATCCTACAAATAAACTAATCTTATAGGAAAGTAATGTTGGCTTCAGTTTATTGAATGCTTCCTTGGTAAGATAAGTTCTTTTTGTACAAACTGTTTCTTACTGATTTTTCTTGTTGAAAGAGGTTAGACTAATAGATTTTTCCTTTCCACAATTCCCTAGGTAAAAATGCCCGTATTCAAGGAAAAACAGTGGATTTTAATCACTGCTAACTTCAGAGCCAATTTTTTTGATATCATGAACCCGTACTACAGTGCTGATACATTTCTACCAACAATTAGTGCGGTTATCTACAACTTCAAGGTCTTGTTTGCTGCTACATATGGAAATTCTACTTCTTTCAACATAGGTAATTTCGAATCAAGATTTGTACCAGCTCCCAAGGTCAATTTCAGGTGGGTTTTCCATGGAAATCTCCAGTTTTACAATATTTGTACCAGCCACGGGCAAATTTTTGGCTCTTTCTCCTAAAAGACAGATTAGAAGTATTTTAAATTCACAATAATTTCCATCTTGAGTATGGAACTGATTGTGCTATTTTATTTCACAGGTATGACTCGGGAATTTTCATTCTGTAGTATGTTAGCAAGTACAAAGGTCTTGAATTGCAGGGTTTCTCTAATGTAAGCTATAAACATTTTTTCTGTTTTTTGCTCATTTCTTGGAACATATCAGGAATTAAACTGCACTTTTTCTAAAATACGGTAGGATGATTTACAAGCTCTACGTCAAAAAATCCTGTTTGAGATTGTAACATGCAAGGACAATCAAATTCAACTGCCGTTAGTAACTTCTTTCCTGCAGCGACATGTAAGTTCTCTATTTTTTTTCTCTCCTATGGAAACAAAAGAGATGTTATTTTCTTAGAGCCTGTTCTTTCATTCCAAACAGTGAAATTAATTTCTTCTAATCGCGTTTACGTTTCTTCAAATTCTTCTTTCTATTCTCAAGGGTCTCATTAATACTGCCACCTTCAAGGGAAGTGCACTGCAAGATTCAACTCCAAGGAATACTTCCATGGCAAAAAAGTTTCCTTACCGATAGAGCAATCTTTTTTTCTCTTGCTGGTCCAATGATAGTTTCTTCCAAGACCATCAGCTGTAAACAATGTCCGAAAACAGCTGAAAAAGTATTGAATACAAGTAGTAAGACATGTACATTTTTTAAGTCTTTCATGACACCTTGGTGATACTATTATTAGTCAATTTCATCAAGTTGTAAGCTCACCACTTTTTATGATAGTTTTAGAAGTACCAGTTTGTAATAAATGGAACCAGCACCTGGTTTCATAAAATGGAACCAGCAACCATTGTTTAGTAAATTCAAGGTTTTTCTGTTTCATGTTTCTTTGGGAGACAGTTGAAACAGTGGAACAGTAGAAACTATACCATTCTTTAATTTACTACCACTATTGAAACAGCAGAAAGAGAAGAAACAGAAGAAACAATGGAACCATTCTTTACTTTATAACAGTAAAAACAGTGTAAAACAGCAGGGACAGCAACCAGTGGAACAGCTTCGCGAAGCAGAAACAACGAAACGCTTGAAACAGTTCAAAAACAGTTCGCGCGCGCCAAGCGGCCCACAAAGCCCGCCAGTCAGCTGCCCCTGTGCGAAGCCGCAACTAGTTGACGCAGAATGCGTCACATAGGAGTTCCCCTTCGTGGGGGCGAACCTGGGCCGTCGCCCCCCAGCAAAAAATAACTTTTCTACTACCCCTATGTATTACAGCCCACAAGGCCCATTTTCTTATCTACTCGTTGCACCCACGTCCTGAGAGGAGCAAAGCGACCCATTAAGCGAGCGAGAGCAATCAAGATTTCACGTTTGACCTGTGACTGCTGACGCCTGAGAGTGGGGGTGGGGCACCGCACCGGCGGACTGGCCGGCGGCGGCTGTGGCTTGTCGGCGTGGAGGTTGCCGCTGGCGGGCGAACGGCTAGGGATTGGTTATTGCTGGTCAGAGACATCTCCGTTCCTACCTGCTGAGTCCTGACTTCTCATTGCTGCCGCACGGATGCAAACAGAATCAGGCAACACCGGCGCCGCGCGCAGTGCCGAAGTGAGCTGGTGAGCAAATTGCTCTCGCTGTCTCTCTCTGTCTCCCCCCTCTACAAATTGTGGAAATTTAGAGTATTTTGATTCTGCAGTTGGGGAAAATTCTAATTAGGTCATGGATTTTGTGCTGAATAGAAAATGTCCTTCACAGAAAAACGGTGAATACAATTCTTGAGGGAAAACAATTTATGTATTTTTCAAAAAGAAAAAGTGAGGCGATTCAGTTGAATGTAAAGTTGACGAACCAACACAAACAGAAGCAATACATGTTCAGCCTCCTCTGTTGTTACTGGAATTTGAGCAACACGGACCACATTCTTCGATGCCGCAACAATAAGGCCATCAAACAAATGAAGCCCTATTTTGAGGGATTGAATTTTTGCATCGGGATCCAACACTACGTGTCTACGTCCACAAATTTGAAAACATCCAGCTAATCCAAGAGATGATGTGGGGCGAGCATATTTGAAGCTTTGTGCTATGCAGCCCGTTTGAGATTTCTTCGCCCCTCCTGAGATTTCTTTCAAGCTCCGCCACTGCAGAGACCACCACGCCTTTTTTTCACAGGCCAGTCACACTCACACGTAGCGCGTGCTCTGCTACCCCCAGCGCGGAGGATTTTCCAAGGACAGTAAAATTCCACGGGAAATTGCACGAATTGGCTGCAGACTTGTGGAACAAAACCCCAATTTACTGACTTGTGAATCAGGGCGGCAGTGTTATATTTAACTGAACTGGTTTGTCAGGGTGACAGAAACAACATTCTCATTACAAGATTAACTATGGATTGCTTCAGGCGCCTTGGCTATCCATCTGTGTCCGGGACAGGTACCACCGTACCAAGAAGGCTAGCTAGAAGTCCAGAAGAAGCTGCGGCAAAACTCGCTCCAGGTGGGTGGGCTCAATTGTGGTCGTCCCCTCTGCTTCAGCGATAACAGCACACCGCTGGACAGCCTCTGCAAGACAGAATTCAGAGGTTGACTGCATAAGTGGAACCAAATGTTTACTTGTTATTAGCATGAGGTGGTGTGATATTTTTCGTCAATATGCAGACCTGCGACAAACATCCGAAGAAGTTCGCAGCTCACTTGAAGTGCACTTGCATTGGCTGCAAACATTAAACAAACAAAGCATCATGAACAAGGTGCGGGAAGGCTTCTGTTGGAAATCATTTTGATATCTTAGGTTTGAGTTATCCAAAGGAACCTAAGGGCAGAAATTCATTTGTTTTCGGCTATTTTTTTTCCATTTTCGATCAAGGGATTGATAAACAATCGAACAGTGAACATGATAAATGTGTCAATATAAACATAGTATGGGTAAAAACTGGCACAGATAGCTGCAACATGCACGAAAACTGTGCACGCAACTACTAGCTTGGAAAGACAGAGAATCCGGACTAGGAAGGACCCAAGGACTCCATCAGTTTAATTTGCAGGTGCACGCGGAATCGACAGTCGACAGTGCTACTGAATTTCCAAGAACAAAGCATTGTTTATCATCCTAGAAAACACCATTTATTTACCAGAGGTACTCCGGTTCCTCCTTGACGTCTCCGCAGCAGGCTGCCAATTAAAAACTGAAACATTCTCATCTGATATACATACATAGCAAAAGGATAAAAAAGAAACTGAACAGTTTGGGGTAGGAGGAAGGGAACAGAAAAGCTAAGCATCTGAGATTAGATTGGACCACGGAATCACCTCGACGTCTACGGCCTCGTCGACGACGCCGCCCCTGCCGGTCCGCCGGCTCCACACAAGCTTGAATATCGCGCGGATCAGATCCTGCTCAGGTCCCGACAGCTCTTAAAATCCAACATCCGGAAGAACAAAAAGGACAGAGAAAAGGGAACATCCGATGGAGGAACTGAAGAGAGGGTGAGCTCACCGGATTGAAGGTCTCGTCCCGTGCCTCGCGCGTCTCTTCATGGAAATCTTCCATGGCGACTTGCGGTTTCGCCGGGGCGGCAGATGCAGGAGGGTGGGCGGGATGAAGGGGGCGAGTTAGGGGAGCTCCTTTTTTTTAATTATTTTTTGAGAAAAAGTTAGGGGAGCTCCTAACCGGCGCTCTCAGCGCCGGTTTCTCGTATCGGCGCCCGAAGCCGATCCGACTGGGCTGGCCCAGCAACAATCTACAGGGGCGCGAAAAAATCAAAAAAAAAACACACCCTAAATTCGTTCTCAGCAAGTATGGAACTCTCGGCGTTAGAACAGGGAACAAGAATGCTAACCACCTGAGCTTCTTTGCAACTGACCAAATACAGGCAAAAGACTTTGAGTACACCACTGTAGCGCTTTGATTTTTAATTTTTTTCAAAACATTTGGGAAAAAGTTCATAAATTACAAAACAGTTCATTTGTTTTGAAACAAAATAATCGGTTTTGAAAAAATGTTCACAATTTTGAGAAAAAATTCTATCAATTTTGAAATAGGTTCATCGTTTGAAAAAATAGTTCACGAATCTGGAGAAAAAGTTCACAAATTTGAAAAACGTTCATCAAAATTCAAAAAAGGTTCACTGATTTTGAAAAAAGTTCATCAATTTTTTCAAAAAATTCACCGATTTTGAAAAAAAAAGTTCATCGACATTGAAAAAAGTTCATCGAAATTCAAAAATAGTTAATCAAATTTGAAAAATAGTTCATCGAATTTAAAAAAAGTTCATCAAATTTTTTAAAAATTTTATGAATTTTAAAAAAGTTCATCAATTTGAATAAAACGTTCATGTACTTGCGAACCAATTCATCGGACCAAGACAAAGAAAAAAAGAGAACAAAAAAATGGGAGGAGAACGAATAATAAATTGAAATATTAAAAGGTAACTAGATCCCTCCCGGCGGCCACGTGGTTACACTGGCGTTCTTTGACGGGAGAGCTACTTGGTTCGAATCCTAGCAGCGCTTTTTTTTGCGGATTAAGACACAAATGAAGACACGTTAAATGGGCCGGCCCAGCCTGACGCGGGGGTGTGCGCCCGTTTGCGCCTATGCCTGTAACGGGCGCAACGGCCGCCGTTTAGGGAATGCCGCGAGTTAGGGCGAAGGCGCGGGAAGGGGTTCATTTCTGGGCCTACATGGGCCGTTTCTTTAGCGCTGCTTACGGGGAGATTAAGGCTTGGGTTGGGTTGAAGTTCTTGAGGCCGAAATAACTAATTAAGAAGTATTTGTTGCAAAGAACACTCTACTTTCCTAGGTTGCGACAAGTCACGCACATGTAGCGCGCCGCTTGTCGCAACCTGGGAGTTTTTCTTTTTTCCGTAGATCCGTTTATTCAAAACGTTTTATCTTTTAAACCGTGCGTCCAAATCTCGAACCGTTTTCATCATTGGATTCCTCTCATTGAGATCTTCAAAACTAGATACCATGTTGATAGGTTTTGACGAACTTTTTTATGAAAAAGTCCGGACGAAAAAAACCGGACGAAAAAACCGAACCGGAAGCATGATTTTTTTTCCTTTCCGAAAGAGGCAGGCCTGTGCCTCTCGCGAAATCACACCCGTGCCTCTTGTGGAAGCAAAACCATGACTCTCTTGAAAGGAAAAAAATAGAAAACGCATTTTTTTTCGTTTCCGAGAGGCACGACCGTGACTCTCGCGGAAGCAAAACCGTGACTCTCGCGAAACAAAAAAAACAGAAAACACGTATTTTTTCCCTTTCTGAGAGGCACGGCCGTGACTCTCACGAAAGCACAACCGTGCCTCTCACGAAAGAAAAAAAAATAGAAAACGCGTTTTGTTTTTCCCTTTCCGAGAGGCACGGCCGTGACTCTCGCGAAAGCACAACCGTGTCTCTCGCAGAAGCAAAACCGTGACTCTCGCAAAAGAAAAAAAAACAGAAACGTGTTTTGAAACTGTGACTTTCGCGAAAGAAAAAAAAACGCGTTTTTTTTCGTTTCCGAAAGGCACGGCCGTGTCTCTCGCTAAACCACAACCGTGCCTCTTGCAAAAAAAACTATGACTTTCGTGAAAAAAAAAAGAAAACGTGTTCTTTTCGTGCAAAAAAAAATCGAATTTTTTTTGATCGAAAAGCTAAGGAAGACTGGGAGAAAACCAAAACGTCGAAAAAAAACCATTTAAAAAGCCGAAAACGCATGCAGAAAAATAAAAAAAACCAGAGGAAGCGTCCAGAGCGCGAGACGTGACGAATGGCTGAGAGCGCGCCAAGTGGCGCTGATCGTTGTGAGGCTCCCGAAGAAGCGCTCGTTAACTAGTTGCTCCCTTTTTTTGTTGTTGTTTGAAACTGGCCTGGATTAAAGTCCGAATGGGCTTCTTCTACTGCTTTTATTTTCACTTTTGCAGAGGTAAAAATGAATGCTAGTGCCAAAAAAAATCAGCGGTAATTGCATGTGGCTCGGCGACAGTGGTGAAGAACATAGCGGAAGGCATGCAAGGAACAAATGCAATGATCATTGTGGAAATCAGAAATTTTCTCAAACTAGTAGTGCTATCTCTTTTATTTATTCTTGTGGGGAATCGAATGTTGATGCCGACAATATAGCTAAAAATGCTCTAGAACTACATACAGGTATGGCTCCCAGTCTCCTGCGGCGGGCAGTGGGGTTGGCGTGGTGCCGGCGATATGGTCGGGTGGCCGACGGATCTCCGGTGGCCTGGGGCCTCGCGTGGCTGCCTTGGCGGCGCCAGATCTGACTGCTGGCCTTCTTCCCTGCTCGATGCGCTTTTCCTGCGAGGGTCCCTGAGTGTGCTGTATGGCCTGCCTATGGGATGCGGGCGATTCTGGTGGTCGGGATCCAGATCGGGGGAAACCCGGGTCAGCTCCGGCCGGCCGCGACGACGACGACGTCCGCGGGCGCCGATTTCTTCATGGAGACGTCTGTCAAGGTCTACCCTTCCACTCCCCACCACCTAGCTTCTCGGGTGAAAACCTAACTCCGGTGGGCGGCGGCGGCGTCTTTGGCGCCGCGACCTTCTTGAAGGCGCCGCCTTGAGGGCTGGGTGGTGGCGGGCGCTGTTTGGGGTCGGTGACAGCTGCCGACGGCGTGCCCTTCTTGCCCAAGCCTCCGCTTTTCCTCCGACGCGTTCTGGTTCTCCTGGGGGCGTCGTTTTGGAGTAAGTGTTGGCTGGGAGGATGGTGGAGCGGTGCTCCATCTCATACATTGATGGCGGCGGATGTCGGCGGCATGGCACTGTGGAGGCTCGACGTCCGATGCACGGAGATGGACTCGCGCAGGAGGAGGGTGTTGTTTGACGTCATGGTGGCGTCAATGGCGGAGTGGCCAGACAAGGTAGAAGCCTCAATTTGATCTGAAGACGGACCTGTGGAAGATGGTGGTGACGACACACGAGTGCGTCTGACCGGATTATGCCCCAGACACGGTATGTGGCTCGGTCGGGGCTTCTGAATGTGTTTCGGCTTCCGGCTTTTGATGTTAGGCTTACGTGAGTGGTCTGGATAGTGGCCCGACTATCACCCCTTCATCATATTGAATAGGAGTAGTGGCATATGTTGTCAAGATGGTGGATTCAGGCACATTGATGTAATACTTTGTAAGATCCTCGAGAATAATCAATAAAGTGACCGTATGCATCTTCCAGATGCAGAGGTCGGAGGTCATCCTTTAAAAAAAAAAGGTATGCAGACCACCTAGCAACGACGAGTACTAGTGTCCTGAAAAACAAAAGGTAAACTTGCCATTCCTTATATTGTTCTGAAAAAACTGGTCATTTCTTGTTCATATGAAAATTCTGTTGGCCGATAAGGCAAGTTGCCTCAAGTCCTCCTCCAGTTTTGAGATGCAAATGAAGTATTTTTCCAAGTTTCATCGGCAATCCTAGTCGTTTTTTTTAGAAAAGGAGGATGACCCCCGGCTTCTGCATTTGGGAGATGCATACGGCCATTTTATTGATTATTCTTGGGGATCTTACAAAGTATTACAAACAATATACCTGAATCCACCATCTTGGCAACATATGTCATTACTCCTATCCATATGATGAAAGGGTGCTAGCTGGGCCACTACCCAAACCACTCACCTAAGCCTAACATATAAAGCCGGAAACCCCAGCCGAGCCACATACCGGGTCTGGGGCACAATCCGGTCAAACGCACTCGTGTGTCGTCGCCGCCATCTTCCACAGGTCCGTCTTCAGATCATATTGAGGCTTCTACCTTGTCTGGCCACTCTGCCATCGACGCCCCCATGACGCCAGACAGCTTCCTCCTCCTGCACGAGTCCATCTCCGCGCATCAGACGCCGAGTCTCCACAGCACCATGCCGCCGAGATCCGCCACCATCAATGTGTAAGATGAAGCACCGCTCCATCAAAATCGCTGTCCTCTAGTCCCTCGAGTCCGTGTGCACCTCCAAGAATGACGCCTCCAGGGGGAAACGACACCAGAGAGCCGCCGTCATCCGATCTACTGATCTAGGGTTTCCTCCGGAGGTAGCAGAGAGTGGCCTTGAAAATCTCCACGGCGATGCCTTCAAAAATGTAACGACGCAGACAGCGTCGCCATCGCCGACCTTGGCAACAGTCAATAGCAGGTTTTCACCCAGATCTGATCGAAAATCTCCATCTCTCGTGCACGGGTCACCGTCGTCCTTGCCGGGATCTGGATGATCCCGCTTG